CTCCCGCCTGATAGTTTCGGACAATGTATTGCAGAATTGCGTTCTCGCTTGGGATTTCTTCGCAACACCGCTTCGCTTGATATTTCTGCACTTTATTCAGATGCCGATCTTCGACACTCAGGAATCGCGCTCCCGCTACATATTGCCTGGCGGTTCAGGCAGGACTCACGATTCAACGACCCGCCCGTTTGACCCACCCTTCGGGGCCTGCCCGCCCGACCAGCCCGGTAATGACTGCAGTCGCCGCTCGCTGCCCTGCGCCCGCATTCGATGCCCCTCGCTGCCCGTCGCCTTCGCTCGCTGCCCTTCGTGGCCCGGTTGCTGCTCTCAGTGGCCCCGTCGCTGCCCTTCGTGGCCCCGCATTATCTGCCCTTCGTAACCCCCGCTCGCACTATCCCGTCGTGGCTTCATACGCATGCCCTTCGTAGCCCCGTTGCAGCCCTTCGTGGCCCCCTCGCTGCCCTTCGTGGACCCGTTGCAGCCCTTCGTGCCCCCCTCGCTGCCCTTCTCGGCCCCGTTGCAGCCTGCAGCCCTTCGTGGCCCCCCCGCTGCCCTTCGTGGACCCGTTGCAGCCCTTGGTGGCCCCCTCGCTGCCTTTCGTGGACCCGTTTCAGCTGTTCGTGGCCCCCTCGTTGCCCTTCGTGCCCCCATATATGTATGCCCTTCGTGGCCCCCGCGTGTTCGCGCCCATCGTGACCCCCTATGCATGCGCTTCGTGGCCCCGCTGTCGCCCTTCGTGGCCTCTTCGCTGCCCTTCGTGGCCCCGTTGCTGCCATCAGTGGCCCCGTCCTTGGCCCCTGCGGTCCAATCTACGTATGCGCTTCGTGGCCCCCGCTCGTTCGCGCCCGCCGTGGCCCCATATGCATGCCCTGCGTGGCCCCGTTGCAGCCCTTCGTGGCCCCCTCTCTGTCCTACGTGGCCCCGTTGCTACCCTCAATGGCCCCGTCGTTGCCTTCCGTGCCCCCGCATTCTTTGCCTTTCGTGGCCCTCCCCGCTCGTTCGCGCCCTTCGTGGCCCCATACGCATGCCCTTCGTAGCCCCGCTCTCGCTCTCGCTCTCGCTCTCGCTCTCGCTTTCGCTCGTCGTCGCCGTCGTCGCCGTCGTCGTCGTCGACGTCGTCGTCGTCATCGTCGTCCCAACTAGTTCTACGAACTCGGTTTTAGCTTCTTTGGGAATAAAGGGGGTCGCCCACGTATCGATTATTTTTTGTCCACAGGCTCTTTTACCATTGGACTGTCGCATGTACATGTGTTGGTTCTCACACCGTAGACTACATTACTTCCCGCACATGCTAGATCACATTCCTATGATAATGGAGGTGATTATACCAGGAACCCTTGCATCACAAGACAGGGGCTATTGCGTTTTGGATTGGGCCCTCGTGGCTGCTGGCTTTGAACTTGGTCATAGACGCCGGGAATTTCTTCAGGACCTCCACGCGTCCCTGAGCCAGGCGCGCCCTCTCGTCGAGACTATTCTCAGTGTGCCACAACGCGGTGCTTGCTTATCTTATTCCGCAGAGCGCACCGAAATTCTATTCGAAACATCATGCGTCCCCCAGTGGGTCAAGGACGACAGAAACATCGATTATCCATCTTACGTGAGCGAGCTTTTCTCCGCCAGCAGGGCCTTTCTCCTGAGTCAAACGAGCTTAAGACGATCACCGAGCATATCATAAAGTTTGAGAGATTTCAAAAAGCATGGTGGAGACACAGCGTGGAAAAATAGTTGCGCATGGCATGGGCACGGCGCAAGACGGCGCGAGTGGCAGAATTGGCGTGAGTGCGCGCGGGCACGCGCACAGGTGTGCGGAAACGCTCGTACCTCTCCCTCCCCTTTGGCCCGCCCGCTGGCCTCGTCCTTTATCGGCGCTCTCACTCGGCCTGGAGTGGAGGGGGGGGCTTGCTGCGCGTGATTTATCTGATAGTATGCGGACCCAGGACTATTCAGCGGCACAACGGGCTTCTAGCCACCCCTCTAGAGCAGGTTCAGCCCATCGGAGTACGTTGCGAGGAGCCTTCTAGTGAAGATGTTACCCAGGCGGTTGACGACCAGCGAGTTATGCGTGCCCGTCTATTTCGACAGCGCCATTGTCGCTGCAGCCCCCGTGGTCATGGCCGTCCAAGTTGAGCATTATGATCATGAGCCCTCGCGATCTTAATCGCCCCGGCCTGCCCCCCTCTGGCGTCGGCCACGGCGGCCGCGTGTCTCGCGACCTGATAAGCGACGTCTGGGCGGCCTGAGTGGCGAGCTGAGGGTCCCGCTGCACTAGCTGCTGCTCTACTTGCCCATATCCGATGCCCCCGGCGTCTGCCCCGACAGGCCTACACTAGTCATGGGATTAGGATGTCGAAGAAGAACAAACAGCCCGCGGGGGGGCCCATCAAGGATATCAACGCGCGCCTCAGGATGATCCATTGCTTTTGCCTTCGGTGGAGATCATATTTGAGATCGGAGTTCTTGATTGTGGATTCGAGTGCGCGTTTCTCGACTGGGCCTGCGGGGGCGTGCGAAATTGACGACGCGAGGCTTTCATGAGTATTGTGAAGATACTAGAGTGGAAATTACGTGCTTGTCATGTATCTTACCTCATCAACTCCTTCGACATGCGCAACGCTGTCGGCGCCGGCTTCGCACCCAAAGTGATCGAGAATTCTGATTGGAGGAGCGCGGCGCGCCGCGTTCGGCAGATGCTGGCCATGCACCGCAAGGGGGCGGTCATCAGAGTCGACGCGGCTGATTGCAGCTTGCGCCTTCGATTCGAGTCGGGAGGTGGGTGGGGGTTCGAACGAGCCATAGTTCATCATGGGTAACTACTTCGGCCCCGTCATTCGCCGGAAGAGTAAGACGCGTGAGATCGCGGACCCCCCCCCCAGGCCATCTGCCCCGTTGCCCAGGGGCCCCGGGGTCTCTCACTCGGAGCTTTCGTCGACGATCCCATCGAGGCATGATCGTTCCCGATGGATCTAATTGCCAGGCACTCGCCCTCGATCTCATCGACAATGATTCCCGTGACAGCGATGAGCTCTTGCGCGATGGATATGTGCAAGACGTCGCCAAGCAGGGCGCCCTCGTAGAGTTGGCCACATCACAGGCTACAAGGGAAGCCGAGCAGGATATTATTGGAAACGCGGTTACGAATCGAATTCATTTGGGTGGGAGCGTGGCTGAGTGCACCAGGTCCGGCGACGTCGGGTGGGGCGCCCCCTCGCTTCTTCGCTTCGCCCGCCCCCGACGAGAGCGAGCGGGTGACCTTCCTCGCCGACGTCGCTGGCAGGGCGTGGTCAGGCATGTAATCTTATTGTCTTTTTTGCGGGGGGGCGGCTCGCATCGATCGGGGTTTGGCAAAGTCATTGAGGGCCGCGGCCATGGGGCGCGCCCATCAGGAGTTCGAGGATGGTCGGCGCCAGTCGCGGACAATTCGTCAAGACTTTGAATGTTGGTCCATGGCCCCCGCAACGATCGAGCTGCTCCTGCGTCGGCTTGCCTGGTGGCGACAGATCGTCGCGGATCCAGGCCGCCGCTCGCATTTCCTCGCCGCGATGTAAGGGCGGCGCGCGTTGGCGCAGACAGTCGGACGGGGGCTCGTTGCCAAGTCAATTGCCGATGGCGGCCGCTTCAGCACGGACCCCGGATAGCATCCTTGGCTTAGGCAACTGAGGGGGGATCTCCAGGGCCTCCTCCAGCACCCCGTGGACGAGAGCCTCCAGGTGGAATCCCCCCCCCTCCTGTGGGCTCGGATTTGTTTCGCAAGTGACGTGTGTCGGCTGCTTTTCGAGAGCGTGGCCCTCGTGTTCTACGCGGCCCTCATTCCTTTCCGAATCGTGCCCCCCCCCCCCCCCATCCAGAGAACTTCCCTGCCGCTCGGCGCCCCCCTCGAGGCGATGCGATCCAGGGTGACTCTGACGACGTTGAGATGTTGTAGATCTGCAGGGCGCATGGGCACGCCATGAGATTCGACGTTCAACGTCAGTTTATTATACACCAGGTGCACTCTCAGGCTCCAGGGCACGGCTGGCCCCCGCCCCCACCGCGGTTACCCTGGGCAATCAATGCTGAGTATGCCGCGCAGTGTTCTCGAGCGTCGAGCATGCAGCCCTGCGCCATCGTCGATGCTGGTTCCAGGCGCGGTGTCTTCCCAACCGGAGTAGACGTGCCCACCAATGGAAACCCACCGAGACACGTCGATGCCCGTGCTCCCAGGTCTCTGAGAACAACCGGTGCCAGGCCCATTTTCGCCGCCTCGTAATGATGCCACCTTGTCCAGTCGGTGGGCCGTGGCGAGGGGCCCACTCAGCGAAATGCAGCGCCATCTCGCTTCCCCTTGTGGGGGTGGTGCCTCCATGTGAGTTTCAGGCGGGGTCGGCGAATTCCTCGGCCGCGCCAGGCCTCGCCGCTGGGCCGCCTCGCCAGTGGAAAAAAAAACAATCAAAATCGGCAGCGTTTCGTCATGCGCATCTCTCCGTCGTTCTTTGGCTCTTGGTCGCAGCCCCGCGCGCCTGTGGCGCGTGCCCTTGCCAGTGCTTCGACGACAGCAAGTGCGTCGCGGCCTGCGTGGGCGCCCTCTGACACCGCCAGTATTCGACAAGAGGTGCAGCGCGCCCTTCAACTTCTGCTCGCCCTGCCGCGTCCGAGCGCAGTGGGGCCCCCCCCTGACGGCCCCGCGCCCGACCTACTACTAGGCCTGCGACCTCGTCGGCGGCAGCGCCCTCGGCTCCGGGGCCAGCGCGGGCGTTGGCTACACTATCGCTCCCTGTGCTACCCGACGCAGTTCTCGTCGGTGGCGATGGCGCCCGCAGCCCGAGCTTCGCGGCGCCTCCCGAGATCCTCAGTGGGGTCTGCCAGCGGTGGCAGGCAAAGCGAGCAGGACGAGCCGCGCGCGAAGGCGCCCCGGGCGACGGGCGGAGCCCGCGGCTCGGCCCCAGCGGCAGCGGGGGCCGCGGAGGCAGGGGGGGCCGCGGAGCCCCGGCGCTGACGCCGCGGCGGCAGGCGCCGCCGAGGCAATCAGTCGGACCGGAACTGGACCTCGAAGGACAACCACCTGGCGGAGTTCTTCTTTGTCCTCGCGAAGCTGGTCTTGCAGGCGACGCATTGGACGCGGCTGCGCGCGGCGGCGACGATCGACGCGTTCGTGTTCCCGACAGCTCACCCCGTGGTCGTGGCGATCGGCGACGCGGTGGACTGTTCCAGCGGAGAGGTGGAGAAGGCGCGCCAGAAGGAGAACGGCCCCAAAGAAGCGCCGAAGCAGTTCCGGCCCCCGACCGCCAGCCTGCTCGCGCGCTTCATCGAGGCTCTTCTGAAGTGCCGCGTCGGCGGCAAGTCGAAGGCGGAACTCGAGGCCTGGCTGGCCAAGATGAACGGCGGCGAGGACGAGGTGGCTCAGCTGGGCCGCGAGGACCTGGAATCGGACGCCCCCGTCCTCCGACTCTAGAAGTGCTGCAAGGCCGAGGGCGCCGAGCTCGTCGTCGCGATGCGCGGCTGGTCCATGCGCGCCAGCGTACTGGCTGCGATCAGGAATGAAAACAAGGCGACGGCCCACTCGGGAGCGGCGCCGCCAGGTTGGCTCGATGGGGAGCTGTCGAATGGGAGGTCTGAGCAGGCCCGTCCAGTTCGCACGTTCCAGTTCACCCCCGTTCTTTTCTCTGCCCGCGCCTCGCAAACAGGGCAGATCCAGCTCCACTGCGGAGACTCCTTTCGACGAGTATTAAGCCGACGCCGAGGCAACATAATTCCTCGGCAACTAATCTTCTGCCAGGCCTAGGTTCCCTCGCTTTGCCCGCTAGACCCCCGGGAGAGCACGCAGTGTTTGCTAGTTTTTGGCATCCCTTGCCAGCCGCGGGTTTACGTGTGCCCGCGGGAACTTCCGATGGCATTGATCGCCGTCCTGCTTCGCCAGCCGCACAGCGCTGATGTGGCGGTATAAGTCGTCGTCGTGGTCGGCCCCCTGTCCGTCCTCTTGGGGTCGGGTTGCCGCCGATCTGCGCTGCCGCTGGCCAGGCCGACGGTCCGCGGCCGCCCCGCCGCTTACCAGGGCCCAGCTTGCAGGGGAGAACAATCTACCCCCCAAAGGAGTTATATCGAAGACGAAGACGGCGGGTATCGAGAGTTTTGGAAATGCACGTGGGGTGACATTCGAGCAGATAAGAGCTAGCAGTAGTTGATTGTTTTTGCTGCTGTTGTTGTTGTTATTGTTGTCGTTGTTGTTGCTGTTCTTGATTTTTTATTTCTCCAGAAAATATGTTTGACCCCCTCCCCCCTCCAGGGCACATGGTGCTTTTCAATTGAAATGCCCTGCCCGGGGCTGGCACCCTGCATGTATCAGGGAAGATTCTCCGTCTCAGAATTGTGCTGCTGGCCCCAAGTTTACAACAATAGCGGCTCCCGCCTGATACATTCTCACAAATTATTGCCAAACCGCGCTCTCGCGCGGGACGACTTCACCATGTATGCAGGAATCGCGCTCTCGCGTGGGACGTCTTCGGTGGTGCAATCTACGTGGTGCAACCCACTTCGACTGTCTTGAAGCTGTCCTCTCCCCTGCTCGTGCAAACATCCCACCCTCCCACCCGCAACTAGGACGCAAGACATCTTCAGACAAGACCGTGACGGTAGGTACTGCGTGGCACTTGGCCACGACACCGATGCCGACGACGACAGCGACATCGACGACGACGGCGCCGCCGACAGCGACTGCGACGACACCGACGACGTCTCCAATGTTTTCGACGACGACAACGACGACGACGACACCGACGACGACGACAACGACGCCGACGACGACGACGAAGACGACGACGACGTCGCCAACGGAGACGACGACGAGGGAGGAGAAAAAACGACGACGGCGACAACGACGACAACGACGATGGAGGAGGGAAGACGGCGACGACGCCAACGACGAAGAAGGAGGAAGGACGGCGACGCCGACGACGACAACGACGAGGGAGGAGGGAAGACGACGACGATGACAACGACGACGAAGACGACGACGACGGCGACGAAATAGGAGGGACGACGACGAGACGCCGACGACGGACGACGACGACGAGGGAGGAGGATAACGACGAGGGAGGAGTGAAGACCACGACGACGACGACGACGACGACGACGGCGACGAAATAGGAGGGACAACGACGAGACGCCGACGAAGACAACGAGGGAGGAAGGACGACCACGGCGACAACGACGACGGAAACGACGACGACGCCAAAGACGACGAGGAAAGACAGAAGACGACGACGGCGACGACGACGACGACGACGACGACGAAGGAGGAGGGAGGACGACGACGACGACGACGCAAGAGCGCGCGCGCACAATTTTGTTGAAAACCGTGTTGCGAAACCTTGTGTTTTTGTAGGTTTTTTGGACGCACGATTTCGAAATTCTTCCGAAACCGAAGGTTTTTGAAGGATTTCGGCATACGCCCGCGACGACGCGCGCGTCTGCACTTCGTCCCATTCTTTGCAGAGGATTCTCGCGACGGCACACGCGCAAGGGCGTTCGACAGATTTCGACATGCGCGCGCGCGAAGCCCGTTTGGTAGCAGTTTGTGAAAATCTTGGAAAACCTATGGTTTTCTGAAGATTTCGCAAGAGCTCGCGCGTAAGATTTTTTTTTGGAATCAGTATTGCGAAACCAATTGTTTTTGTATGTTTTTTGGAAATTCAATTTTGAAATCTCTCCGGAACCGAAGGTTTTTGAATGATTTCGGCATGCGCGCGCCACGACGCGCGCGTGTGCACTTCGTCCCATTTTTTGCAAGGGATTCGTGAAAAAGTGAAATGTTAGAACAAAACATGTCACCGCATAGTGTTTTTTACAAGGGAACCGCAGGGGGGGGGAACCCGGCTTGGCTGGGATGGTATGAGTTCATATTTAGGATGGACATGTGGTCAGAATCATATGTAATTTACAGCACGCGCGGGGGTCCCGATAAGTCCGGGGGGGGGGGGTAGAATGTATTAGTTTTTTTAGAAAGGAAAATCCACTTCGACTGTCTTTTTTTTTTTTTTTTTTTTTTTTTTTTTTTTTTTTTTTTTTTTTTCTTTGTTTTTTTTTGTTTTTTTTTTTTTTTTTTTTTTGTTTGTTTATCTTTTTTTTTTTTTTCTTTTTTTTTTTTTTTTTGTTTTTTTTTTTTTTTTTTTTTTTTTTCTTTTTCTTTTTTTTTTTGTTTTTTTTTTTTTATTTTTCTTTTTTTTTTTTTTTTTTTTGTTTTTTTTTTTTATTTTTTTTTGATTTTTTTTTTTTTTTTTTTCTTGTTTTAGTTTTTTTTTTTTTTGTTTTATTTTTTATTTTCCTTTTTTTTTTTTTTTGTTTATTCTTTTTTTATTTTTTTTTTTTTTTTTTTTTTTTTTTTTTTTTTTTTTTTTTTTTTTTTTTTTTTTTTTCTTTTTTTTTTTTTTTTTTTTTTTTTTTTTGAATTTTTTTTTTCTTTTTTTTTTTTTTTTTGAATTTTTTTTTTTTGTTTTTTGTTTTTTTTTTTTTCTTTATCTTTTTGAGCTGTCCTCTCCACTGCTCGTGCAAACATCCCACCCTCCCACCCGCAACTCGGTCGCAAGACATCTTCAGACAAGACCGTGACGGTAGGTATTGCGTGGCACTTGGCCACGACACCGATGCCGACGACGACAGCGACATCGACGACGACGGCGCCGCCGACAGCGACTGCGACGACACCGACGACGTCTCCAATGTTTTCGACGACAACAACGACGACGACGACACCGACGACGACGACAACGACGCCGACGACGACGACGAAGACGACGACGACGTCGCCAACGGAGACGACGACGGGGGAGGATAAAAAACGACGACGGCGACAACGACGACAACGACGAAAGAGGAGGGAAGACGGCGACGACGCCAACGACGAAGAAGGAGGAAGGACGGCGACGCCGACGACGACAACGACGAGGGAGGAGGGAAGACGACGACGATGACAACGACGACGAAGACGACGACGACGGCGACGAAATAGGAGGGACGACGACGAGACGCCGACGACGGGCGACGACGACGAGGGAGGAGGATAACGACGAGGGAGGAGTGAAGACCACGACGACGACGACGACGACGACGGCGACGAAATAGGAGGGACAACGACGAGACGCCGACGAAGACAACGAGGGAGGAAGGACGACCACGGCGACAACGACGTCGGAAACGACGACGACGCCAAGACGACGACAACGACGACGAGGAAAGACAGAAGACGACGACGGCGACGACGACGACGACGACGAGGGAGGAGGGAGGACGACGACGACGACGCAAGAGCGCGCGCGCGCACAATTTTGTTGAAAACCCGTGTTGCGAAACCTTGTGTTTTTGTAGGTTTTTTGGACGCACGATTTCGAAATTCTTCCGAAACCGAAGGTTTTTGAAGGATTTCGGCATACGCCCGCGACGACGCGCGCGTCTGCACTTCGTCCCGTTTTTTGCAGAGGATTCTCGCGACGGCACACGCGCAAGAGCGTTCGACAGATTTCGACATGCGCGCGCGCGAAGCCCGTTTGGTAGCATGTTGTGAAAATCTTGGAAAACCTATGGTTTTCTTAAGATTTCGCAAGAGCTCGCGCGTAAGTTGTTTTTTGAATCAGTGTTGCGAAACCATGTGTTTTTATATGTTTTTTGGAAATTCAATTTTGAAATCTCTCCGGAACCGAAGGTTTTTGAAGGATTTCGGCATGCGCGAGCCACGACGCGCGCGTGTGCACTTCGTCCCATTTTTTGCAAGGGATTCGTGAAAAAGTGCTATGTTAGAACAAAACATGTCACCGCATAGTGTTTTTTACAAGGGAACCGCAGGGGGGGGGAACCCGGCTTGGCTGGGATGGTATGAATTCATATTTAGGATGGACATGTGGTCAGAATCATATGTAATTTGCAGCACGCGCGGGGGGCCCGATAAGTCCGGGGGGGGTGGTAGAATCCATTAGTCTTTTAGCCACTTCGACTGTCTTGAAGCTGTCCTCTCCGCTGCTCGTGCAAGCATCCCACCCTCCCACCCGCAACTTGGTCGCAAGACATCTTCAGACAAGACCGTCACGGTAGGTACTGCGTGGCACTTGGCCACGACACCGATGCCGACGACGACAGCGACATCGACGACGACGGCGCCGCCGACAGCGACTGCGACGACACCGACGACGTCTCCAATGTTTTCGACGACGACAACGACGACGACGACAACGACGCCGACGACGACGACGAAGACGACGACGACGTCGCCAACGGAGACGACGACGAGGGAGGAGAAAAAAACGACGACGGCGACAACGACGACAACGACGATGGAGGAGGGAAAACGGCGACGACGCCAACGACGAAGAAGGAGGAAGGACGGCGACGCCGACGACGACAACGACGAGGGAGGAGGGAAGACGACGACGACGACAACGACGACGAAGACGACGACGACGGCGACGAAATAGGAGGGACGACGACGAGACGCCGACGACGGACGACGACGACGAGGGAGGAGGATACGACGAGGGAGGAGTGAAGACCACGACGACGACGACGACGACGGCGACGAAATAGGAGGGACAACGACGAGACGCCGACGAAGACAACGAGGGAGGAAGGACGACCACGGCGACAACGACGACGGAAATGACGACGACG